ACGGGCCGACGGCCCGTCCGTTCGTCACGTCGTCGCGACGTCGTCGCCGCCGACGTCGAGACAGGCGTCGGGCGGCGGGGGGNGGGGGGGGGGGCGGTCGGACGGGCGCCGCTGCTGGCTCGCTCGCGGCACGAGCTCGAGATCCCTGCAGGCAGGCACGAGCCCGTCGATCCAGGGTCTCATCACCGTAGCTTGCTTCCGTCCCATCATCCGGGCTGTCTGCCTGCCTCTATCTCAAGCTCGAGGTCCCCCCACCTCACCCTTCCTATCTTGGGGCGCTGACCATGCAAGCCGGGTGATGAGATAGGCGTACGTGGCCATGGAGGAAAGGGGCACCGCAAGTCGGCGGCGTTCTTCGACCCGAACATGCGCAGTTGGAAAGAGAGAAGGCGCTTCCCCGTCCTGCTGTGGTCGTCGACAGAGCTCCGTGCTGGCCTTTGTCGACCTCGGCGGCAGCTCTTTTTGGGTGCGCGCCAAGCCAAGCCAGCAGCTGGCTGGGCGCCAAGGACGAGCATGCTTCCATATCGAATCGACCCTTCTGTGGAGAGAGAGGCGAGAGACGAGACGAGCGCAGCGCCACCTCCGGCGCCGATCCCGCTCCACCGACCCACCGACCCCAAGCTTAGCTTGTGCCTGCGCCCGATAGACCACGCCGGCAGCATGAAGCAAGCGGCTGAGCGGGCCGCCTGGCAGTGAAAAAAGACGTAGAGGCAGGGCTGGAGGTCAGGATCTGCCGGTCGGCTGGATCCCTCCGCCCGTTGTCCGTCTGCATCGCCACGGACCTGCTTGCTTGCTTGCTTGCAGAAGTAGTTGTATGCTTTCCCTGCCTACCCCAGCCAGCCAGATGTCCATCGAGCCCCGGCCGGACAGAGGGACCACGCGGGCGCAGTCCAGCTGGCTGGCTGGCTGGCAGACAGGCACGATCCGAGGACCTCGGTCGTCATCATCGCCGCCGCACCCACCGCGCCTCCTGCGGACGAACGCCACCTACCTACCGTACCATGCTCTCTGCACGGCGTGGCGACAAGGCAAGGGTAGGGAGGCCATGGACGCGAGATGGACGATGATGTCGGACAACAGCCAGCCAGCCAGCCAGCCATGCAGCGCATGCTGTATGGCGGACATCATCCGCGACGGCGGCAGCGGTGTCTGACGAGCCAGCAGCGCCAGACAGGCAGGCAGGGTCTTGCCGGAGCAATCTGGCCTGCCCGGCTGAGCCTGTCCTGCTGGCGTTGCTCGCTGCTGCCTGCCTGCTGCCTGCCTGCTGGCCCCCTTGCTCTCCCTCACCCTTTGGGGCGGCCCGTCGGGGTCGATGGCCGGCGTGGGCGGTGTCAAGCCAGGTCAAGCCGTCTGGCGGGGGGCAGGCCTGCAAGCAGGCAGGCTAAGCTGGCTGCGCAAGTCAAAGATTTCAGAAACATGGGCTGCCGATCTGCGCATGCAGCAGGGCCGCTGGCCGGCCGGGCAAATCACAGCGCGCAGGGCTGCCCTGCCCTCCCCTAGCCTGCCCTGCTCCGCTGGGAGCCGGGCCCCCCTTTTTTCGCTGCTTTCCCCTCTCCCACCCTGCCTGCCAGCCTGCCAGCCTGCCAGCCTGCTTTCGGCCACCGACCGAAGCAAGGCAGGCAGGCAGAGAGAGGACCCGCCTCTCTTCCGGGCGCGCTCACCAGCAGGCTAGGCATGGGCAGGGCAGGCAGGGAAGCTGGGCAGGGTTGCGTTGCCAGGCTTTGCGCTGCGCTGCGTTGCGTGTTTTGGCCCGAATCCATGGCAGGCAGGCGCGCTCGTTCGCCCGCCGCCTGCCCGTCCCTGCCTCATCACCCGGCCTCCTAGCTCAGGGGCCAAAGGTACGGTGTGTCTCAACTCCTCCACCGCCAAACAGCGAGCGAGCTCGCAAAGCAAGCAGGCAGCAGCCACGAACGAAAACCCACAGATTAGAAGCACGCACGCTCTCACGCACGCACGCTGACCGGAGCCAGAGAGAAACAGAGATCGAGGCCGGCCCGCAGGCTAGAGGCCGGCGAAGAGAAGACGGACGCGGTGGTCGAGTTTGTGTCGTGCTTGCTTGGCCCGCGTGCTGGGCGGGGGGCTAGTTAGCTGTGCCTACCTTGGCTCGGCGGTCGGCCTGGGCAGGCAGGCAGGCAGGCAGGCAGGCAGGCAGGCTTTTGTCTCTCCGGCGGCGTGCCGCTGCGATGCTCGCCGCTGCCTGCTGGGTGTTTGTCGACCCGGCCTCGCGCTGCCCGTTTGCTGTCCGTCTGCCGCCTGCCTGCCTGCCGGCCTGACTACTGCCTGCCCGCCCCCTTTCGGCTGGTGCCTCGCACACTCTCCACGCCCGCTCGCCCGCCTGCCTTCCCGCCTGCCTGGCTCGCCCGGCTTGCTTCCAAACCGACCAGGCTTTTGCTCGCTCGCTCGACGCTACCGTGGCTCTGGATCGGCCACTCCTCTTCGCCTTCGTCGCCGCCATCGCCACCACCATCCCCTCAGCCCCCTCTTCCGCCGCCGCCGCCTTCGTCACGCTCTCGCCGGTGCCGTCCTTTGTCGTCGGCATCTGCATCGGGTCGCTCCGTCTCCTAATCTTTTGGCCCCATCCTCATTCGCTCCTGATTCCTCTCCACGACCCCTCTTGGCCTTCTGCTGTCATCGCGGAGACGACGCCGACCTCGCCCTCTCGGCTCATCCGACCCGCACCTGATCACGACCATCTCGACCTGCTGCCAGATTGCGGTCAAGCGCTGCCTACATCCCCGGCTTCGGCTCCTTCCGCACTCATCCGCTCGACCTCTGTCAGCCCCCCCGACACAGTCTCGGACCGAGCCTGGATCTCATCGCTCAATTCCGGAGCGCCCGCCCCACAGCCAAACGACGGACACCTCAGGGTCTACCGACACAAAACGTACGCGCGCTCCCCTCGCACCGGTGTGGGTCGCACCGTCTGCGCATCGCTTCGTGTGCCACCCGGCACCAACTCTGCGCCGCGCTCGTCTGTCGCCGCTTGGCCTAGCTTCAGCTCCATCACCATCGCACCGCTCTCGTGCGACTCGCTCTCGCTCTGCTTGCTTCGACCAGCACATCCACCACGAATTTCCAAAGGACGCACTACGACGTCGGCGCAGGTACCGCTCGCAGCCAGAGCCAGGCGCGCCTAGGCCCTCATTGACATCCAGAGAGGACGCCGGAAGCGCTCGATTGTCATCGCCTCCGTCATCGCCCTTGTGAGTGAGCGCAGCATTGCACTTGGGGTAGATCCGCCCGAGTTGGGGCAAGACGCAGTCAGATGGGGACGGGGCTTCCACGTGTCGGTTTTGGGCTCGTGGGACATGCCGCGAAGGCATCTATCGATCCGGGTGGCTTTCGCATACCGGAGCAGACCGAGCCCGTGCGAGCCGATAGCAAGCATCCCTGGCTGTATCGCTACCCTGTCTGCGCCTGGTGTCGGCCTTCTGCTAGGAGACAGCCACGATCCGTCGGGCTAGGGCCCTCAGCTTCCCTGAAAGCATCCTCGAAGCTGACCTGACGAGCTCCTGCTTTGGCCTTCACGCTGCTCTTTCCGTCATCGCATCCAGCCTCGTTTCGGCAAAGCCCTCTTTGCCAGGAGCTGCACCGTTCGCAGCACCGCGTCTGAAGCGCCGCCGCTGCCACCGCCTGCCTAGGCAGAAGCCCAACCCGCAGCATGAACCCATTCGATACACCGCATAGCGAAGGCGGCCCGGACAGCCGCCGGCCGCAGCGGTCAAGTCAGCCGCCGCTGCCGCCGCTCGAGATTCCGGGCAACCGGGCATCGCAGGGCCAGCACCGGCCGCCGCACCATGCTCAGGCGCCGGTCTACAACGAAGCAGCCTACGGCGCTCCTCCTCGTGGAGGGGCACCCCCATACGCCGCCTACGGCCAGGGGCCGCCGCCAGGCTCCTCGGGCCGTGGTGCTGGAGGGGCGGGTGCAGCGCCTGGCCCTGCCGTGTCGTTCCAAGTGCCGCAGCCGCAGCGGATGCAGCCTCAGCGGGCCGCCCCTTCGCGCGACTCGGTCAAGTCGTACGGCGACGACCGCAAGGGCAGCATGCCCGACCTCGCCCGCCTCGACAGCAGCACGAGCGCGCTCAACAACGTCAACACGCTTGACCCCGAGGCCGGATTCTCGGCGCAGAACCCCAACTTCCGGAGAAAGAAGTCGCTCGTCCGGCCCGATCGCGAGCGCATGGATCCCAACCACCGCCAGTGGTATTACCGCAACCATGCCGCGCAGATGGACATCGCGGACAGCAACGGCGGCGGCCGGGTCGGCTACATGCCGTCCACCACGGGACACCTGCCCCAGCACGGTGCAGCCCCGCACGGCGCCGGCATGGCTCACATTGTCGGGCCCGGGGGCGGTCTCAGTGGCCTCGGCGTGGCGGGTCCGCCGCCCAACATGCCGCCGGGCGGCCTCGGGCGGACCGCGCCGCTGCGACGCGGCAAGTCGATCCTCGGCCGCGACGAAGACCAGGTGGAGAGCGGCATCAACGTGCTCAAGCGCGGCGTCAGCCTGCGGCGGAACAAGTCGCAGTCGGGCGCGCACTCCAAGGAGGTGCCGCGCGACCTCGGCGAGGCGAAGCAGTCGTCGATTGCGCCCGGGCCCGTTGGAGCCTGGATGATTTACTGCTACTTCCTCACGATCTGCTGCCCCTCGCCGGTGCTCAAGGTGTTTGGCATCAAGACGCCCGAGCAGCAGCGCGCCTGGAGGGAAAAGATGGGCCTGATCAGCGTCGTCTTTCTCTGTATGGCGGCCGTCGGCTTCCTCACCTTCGGCTTCACCCAGGCCATCTGCGGCGACCAGGCCACCCGCTACGAGCTCGGCAAGATTGACGGCGGCTCGATGGTCTTCCACGGCTACGACTACGACTTTGACCACTTCTTCCACCCGCAGGTGGGCCTCTTCAACGCCACGGGCATCTACAACAAGACCAACCCCATCTACTCGGAGCCCTGGTCGTCGGGCGGCATGGACGGTAGCCTGCTCTTCCAGAAGGTCGGCGGCGCGTGCACCGACCTGATCAAGAACCGCGCGGGCGGCGGCCAGCCTGACAACTACTTCCCCTGCACCCTGCTCCGCCAGAACGGCAAGGGCGCCTACAACAACGCCAAGCAGTGCCACCCGACCAACATGCGCAACCTGTTCGACGTCAAGTCCGGCGCCAACGTCAGCAACACGCCCATCGTCCGCCGCGGACAGGTCTCGCTCAGCTGGGACAATGTCACCGACACGCGCCGCAACCTGGCCGTCTACCGCGGTTCCGTCCTGGACCTCGGCCTGCTGTCCAACCTTAGCCAGACGGTCACCTACCCGCCCCTCTTCGACACGCTCAAGCGGAGGAACGAGTCTTGGGCAGGCAAAGACATCACCGCCAGCGTCATGCGCGGCAAACTCGACGACCAGTTTGACTGCCTCGACCAGATCGTCCGCGTCGGCTTCATCGACTCGGAGACGATCGGCTGCGTTGCCTCCAAGGTCGAGCTCTATCTCGCGCTCGTCTTCATCCTCGGCGTCGTCGGCATCAAGTTCTTCATGGCGCTCATCTTTGGCTGGTTCCTCTCGTGGCGGCTGGGCAACTATGCCCACGAGACCTACGAGCAGCGGATGAAGCGGGCCGCCGAGATCGAGCAGTGGTCCGACGACATCTACCGACCGGCGCCCGCAGGCTACCGCCCCAACGCCCGCAAGCACAAGTCGTTCCTGCCGACCCAGAGCCGCTTCAGCGTCGCCGATCCGCTCAGCATGAAGAGCGGGCCGGGCGCCGCCGCCAACCGCAACACGCTGTTCAACGAGAAGCGAGCCACCCGCGCCCGGCTGGGCGTCGGCAGCCCGCTCGGCGGCTCCCCTCCCGGCTCTCCTCTGCTCCACGGCGCTCGCAGCTCGGCCTCGCTCGTCCAGGGCTCCGGACGCGACCACTCGCGCCGATCCTCGTTCTCCGGCGCCACGAGCGGCGGCGGCGGCGACGGCAACTCGATGGCGTGCCCCTTCCCGCTGCACAACATTGTGCCCCAGCCTGGCCCCGACTACCAGCCGTTTGGCTTCCCGCTGGCCCACTCGATCTGCCTGGTCACTGCCTACTCGGAGTCGTTCGAGGGACTGCGGACGACGCTCGACAGCCTCGCCACCACCGACTACCCGAACAGCCACAAGCTGTTGCTGGTCATCGCCGACGGCATCGTCAAGGGTGCCGGCTCCGACATCTCGACGCCCGACATCTGCCTGTCGATGATGAAGGAGCTCATCGTGCCCGCCGAGGAGGTCGAGGGCAACTCGTACGTCGCCATCGCCGACGGCCACAAGCGCCACAACATGTGCAAGATCTACGCCGGCTTCTACGACTACGACGACGAGACCGTCGAGCGGTCCAAGCAGCAAAAGGTGCCCATGATCCTCGTCGCCAAGTGCGGCACGCCCATGGAGGCCGACAGCGCCAAGCCGGGCAACCGCGGCAAGCGCGACTCGCAGGTGCTGCTGATGGCCTTCATGCAGAAGGTCATGTTCGACGAGAGGATGACGACTTTCGAGTACGAGTTCTTCAACTCGATATGGCGCGTCACGGGCGTGGCGCCGGACCGGTACGAGATTGTTCTCTGCGTCGACGCCGACACCAAGGTCTTCCCGGACTCGCTGTCGCGCATGGTGGCCTGCATGGTCGAGGACCCGGAGATCATGGGCCTCTGCGGCGAGACCAAGATCGCCAACAAGGCCGAGACCTGGGTCACCATGATCCAGGTGTTCGAGTACTACATCTCGCACCACCAGACAAAGGCGTTCGAGGCGTGCTTTGGCGGCGTCACCTGCCTGCCTGGCTGCTTCAGCGCCTACCGGATCAAGGCGCCCAAGGGCCCCCACGGCTACTGGGTGCCCATCCTGGCCAACCCGGACATTGTCGAGCACTACTCGGAGAACGTCGTCGACACGCTGCACAAGAAGAACCTGCTGCTGCTGGGCGAGGACCGGTACCTGACGACGCTGATGCTCAAGACGTTCCCCAAGCGCAAGATGATGTTTGTGCCACAGGCCGTCTGCAAGACGATTGTGCCCGACACGTTCCGCATCCTCCTCTCGCAGCGTCGCCGATGGATCAACTCGACCGTCCACAACCTCTTTGAGCTGGTGCTCGTCAATGACCTCTGCGGCACATTCTGCTTCTCGATGCGCTTCGTCGTCTTCATGGAGCTGGCGGGCACCCTGGTGCTGCCGGCCGCCATCGCCTTCACCCTCTACGTCGTCGTCCAGGCCTTTATCCCCGACAAGCCGACGCCCACCATCCCGCTCATCCTGCTCGCCCTCATCCTCGGCCTGCCCGGCATCCTCATCATCGTCACCACCCGCAAGATCGCCTACGTCGGCTGGATGCTCATCTACCTGTGCTCGCTTCCCATCTGGAACTTCGTCTTCCCCATGTACGCCTACTGGCACATGGACGACTTCACCTGGGGCGCCACCCGCGTCATCCAGGGCGACGACAACAAGGCCCACGGCGACACCGAGGGCAAGTTTGACCCGTCGCACATTGTCATGAAGCGGTGGGCCGAGTTTGAGCGCGAGCGCCGCTGGAAGTCGGGCACCCACTCGCGCGACTCGACCTACGACGTCGTCCAGAGGACCGGGTCGCCGGAGCGCTCCGGCAGCACGCGCTACTCGGTCGTCTCGTCGGACACGTTCCACTCGAACCCGTCGGGCCAGCACGACCAGTTCGGCCGCGCGCTGCCCAGCTCGGCGCTGCTTTCGAACTCGCAGCACGGCCTGGACAATGGCTCCGAGGGCGGTCACGCCAAGAGCGCATCGGGCGCCCGGGCCCGCCTGGATGCGGTGCCGCTGCTTGAGCTGCCGGCGCCGCTGGCCACCGACGCCAAGCAGCGCTCCAACGCCAGCTCCACGTCGCCGACCGGCCGAACGTACGTCGTCGCGACGGCCGCCGCAACGTACTCCGCCTCCAACAATNCCGACGGCNCGCCAGCACCCCGCCC